ACCCTGTCTCTGCTAAAAATACAAAAACATTAGCTGGGCATGGTGGCGCGTGCCTGTAATCCCAGCTACTCAGGAGGTTGAGGCAGGAGAATTGCCTGAACCCAGGAAGCGGAGGTTGCAGTGAGCCAAGATCGTGCCATTGCACTCCAGCCTGGGTAACAAGAGTGAAACCCCGTCTCAAAAATAAATAAATAAATAAATAAATATAAAATGAAATAAAACACTATTTGGCTTTAAACTATGACAAAACCGGTGCCCTAGTCCTATCCACCTGCTTTCACCTGTCTTGGCAGGGCCCAGCCCACCTCCCCAGCGCCTCTGCAGCCCTGCTCTGTGGGCACAGGGCTGCTCAAGCACCTGTCTCAACAGGCTTCCCTGTGTCGCCTGCTAACTTCACATCTCCCTGCGGAGATGTCTTAGCCACTGATGCCTGACACGTGAAAGCACGATTTTCTTAAATAGGATTCTTAAAAACAAAAATGTGTGGCGTAACTCACCTTGTGACTGTTTTGAAGGGTGCTGTGTAAAGCCACATTCACGAAGCCACTTGCTGAGTGATTTAAGTACCAAAGTGGTTTACAGTCTAAATTGAGCGATAACTCTTTTGAAAATTGATACACCATTTAAATAAGCCACTTGATGCTTTTAATAACTCTCTCCTTTCCTTTCATTTTAATGTTGGCATTAAACATTAAGACATTTTTACCTCTAGTCTCAGCTGTGCTTTGGGTGTTTCCTCTTCAACAAAATTTTACTCTGTTTTCAAATAGTAGTTACTTGCTTTAACACACACATGCACTTGCACACACATACACAATTATGTATTATTTACAATAAAAGAAAAAATGTCCTCTGCAACACACGCACACACATTTACACTACTTCTCAAATGAATTATTCGATTATTAGTTTGGGCTTAACATGGTTTCTTTAGACAAGCAAGAAATATAAAATTGCTTGAAAGGTTGAAAGGTGAAATGTTTCCAACTTCAAAGTCAAAGATTGCATTCCTAAGCTAAACTGGTAAACATAGAATATCTCATAATGCACTTACTGAGTGAGCTGAGTGTGGTGGCACATGCCTGTCATCCCAGCTGCTTAGGAGGCCAAGGCAGGAGGATCACTAAAGCCCAGAAGTTTGAGGCCAGCCTGGGCTACACACTGAGAACCCCCAGTCCCCAAAAAAGACTTTTTCCAAAGAATAAAAATTACAGAAGAAATTCTTTTTTTTTTTTTTTTTTTTGACAGTCTTTGTTGCCCAGGCTGGAGTGCAGTGGCACAATCTTGGCTTATTGCAACCTCCGCCTCTTAGGTTCAAGCGATTCTCCTGCCTCAGTTTCCCAAGTAGCTGGGATTACAGGCATGTGCCACCACACACAGCTAGTTCTTGTATTTTTAGTAGAGACAGGTTTTCACCACGTTGGCCAGGCTGGCCTCGAACTCTTGACCTCAAGTGATCCACCTGCCTTGGCCTCTCAAAGTGCTGGGATTACAGGTGTGAGCCACCATACCCAGCCAATGACAGCAGAAATTCTACAGTCACATAATGAGAGCCTAAGAAAGTGATTTCAAGGAAAACACCTCCTTAAAAAAAAAAGTCATTGCACCTCTCTGGCTTAGGGAGTTCAGTCCCACAGCTACATATCCTCCTCTCTTTTCCAGTGTATCTTCCAGCAGATTTTCCCAACAAAATCTGAGGCAGTACTTTGCCTTCTCTGTCCCCAAAAACTGGATTCTTTTTCTCACCTGAGTTTTCTCCCTCTACTCATCATAAAATTAATTCTACCCTAAGACTAACTTACTTATTTTAGAGACAGGGTCTCACCCTGTCACCCAGGCTACAGTGCAGTGGCACGATCATAGCTCACTGCAGCCTCAAACCTCTGAGCTTAAGCCCTCCTCCAGCCTGTCTTCTGAGTATCTGGGACTACATGCATACACCACCACACCTAAGACAGATAATTTATTTTCAGTGGGAGTTTTAATTGCTGCTGCTGCAATTATTGGAGGGTCTTAAAATTAAAAAAAATTTTAAGGGGTAGGTGGTGGAGAATGACCAGTGTAACTGTTTCATCAGTTTGCCAAGGGTGACATATTCTAAAAAGTGGAAATAAAATATAGGAAAAAATAGCAAAGCACTGTTTCAGATGACCATGTTATATTTATAACATTTAAGCCGGGCATGGTGGTTCACACCTGTAATCCCAGAACTTTGGGAGGATGAGGCAGGCGGATCACCTGAGGTCAGGAGTTCGAGACCAGCCTGAACAATATGGTGAAACCCCGTCTTAAAACAAAAAAACATTTAAACCTAGCAAAAATATCAAATGAAACACTTTTCAAAGGAAGTAATGAAAATTCAACTTAAAAGAATTTTAAGTTGACTTAAAATTAAGTCAGGTATGGTGACTCATGCCCGTAATCCCAGCAATTTAGGAGGCTAAGATGAGCAGATCACTTGAGGCCTAAAGTTCGAGACCAGCCTTGGCAACATAGTGAGACCACGCCCCCCATCTCTTAATTTTATTTTCTTGAGAGAGAATCTCTGTCTCAGAGTCGCTGTTGCCCAGGCTGGAGTGCAGTGGCATAATCTCAGCTCACTGCAACCTCTGACTCCCAGGTTTAAGCGATTTTCCTGCCTTAGCATCTAGAGTAGCTGGGACTACAAGGGCATGCCACCACACCTGGCTTATTTTTGTATTTTTTAGTAGAGTTGGGGTTTCATCATGTTGCCTAGGCTGGTCTCTAACTCACGGCCTCAGGCGATCCTCCCACCTTGGCCTCCCAAAGTGCTGGGATTACAGGGGTGAGCCACCATGTACCTGGCCAAAAAAAAATTTTTTTTTTAATGTAAAACTGTGGGAAAGTTTTTTTCCTTAGTAAAATGGGTTCAGAAGAAAAGTGTCATCAAATAGCAGCACTTTGTAAAATCCCTATTGAAGGTAAGCTGATGCAGTAAGCCTGAGCAACAGAGCAAGACCCTCTCTCTAAAAACAAAACGGAAGCTGAAAAATACTGGACATTTCTATTAGTTTGTTAGTCTTGATATGTGTGATGCATTAATATACCAAAGCAACTTGCAAGCAAAACTCAGCATAATAAAAATGAATGAAATACATCTCTATACGTACTGACCTGGAAACGCCTCTTTTTGTGGTAGGGGAATTGCAGAAAACTACAATACAATCCCATTTGTGTTAAAGAATAAAAGACCCCCTGAAATTATACTTGTTCATGTGTATGAATGCACAGAAAAAAAATCTAGAATATGTCCCATAATATTAAGATGGATGGGTCTGGGGAGATGAGTGGGATTAGGGATTGAAGTGCAACTAGATCCTTTTAGTTAAATGTTTACATTTCCCCACAGCAGAACATACATTCATGTTACTTGTGAAATAATTCACTGTGTCTAGGTAGGTGAACAAAATTGTCCTGGATATTCAGTTCATTCTCTACTATCATATTTGAGAAACTTTTGGGATAACATTTAGATGGATTTTGCTTTTTTAAGAGAACACTTCCAGCAGAAGTTTAAGCAGCAGAAACCAGCCAGGTGTGGTGGATCTCACCTTTAGTCCCAGCACTTTGGGAGGCCAAGGTGGGTGGATCACTTAAGCCCAGGGGGTCGAGGCTAGTAAGCTGGAATGGCATCACTGCACTCCAGTCCAGGTGACAGAGTGAGACCCTGTCTCAAGAAAAGAAGGTGAGGGGGTGGGGAAGACATCACACTGGAGTGGGCAGTCTGGTTTCACCTGCCAGTTCTCTACATGCTACTGAGCACCTTCACTCTAAGCCAGTTTGGCATTATCTTACAGGAAAACTATTCAGGATTTTTTTTTTTTTGGCCACCACTCAGCTGGGACCCAGGCAGACAGACCAGTCCAACCAAATTCTCCTGAGGGACAATTCTGAGACATGCCTTAGGCTGCACTTCTGTTACTAACCCTGCTTCTCTCCGAGAACCAGTTTCATTATTCTGTTGTAATGATCTGTTACTTGTTACTCTGCCCAATCTATGGTAATGTATTTCATTTTCTTAGTATAGCAAGCAAAACCTCCTGCATTAAAGTGGAGCGTGAAACTGGGCTGGTATTTGTGAATAACCAAATTCTATGTCAGTTTCCATGATCTTCCATGGCTGTTGGGGGGCCAAACATGTATCATTGTCTAGGACAGAGCAGGATGAAAACAGCCTCCCCAGGCATCTCCCACTACTGGCATTAAAAAGGATGAGAACCAGCTTAGAGCCACAGAAATGCCCTATGTGCACAAGAAAACCTGCCTAAACAGAGCAATCTTTAAGTTTTTTTTTAGAAAAAGTAGTCATTCAGGTTTTATATAAAGGCTCATACCAGAGGTTTTGAAGATAAATGAAAGCACAAAGCCTTTATTGAACTGCAGATTATGAATAATAAACCCAGTGGTAAGCACTAGGGGCAGATGTGCATAGAAATGCAATTTATAAAATTTCCAAGGCAAACAATTGACATCTTTGAAGAAACTGTCATTAGCTTAAAAAATCTTCTGGGTGTGCAATTCATTCATGGTTTTCATAACTGGTTGCCCAGTGATATGGCCTCAGGAAATGTTGAGATTTCATAAATCATTTGTATCAAACATCTTTTTCTGGTAAATTCCTTAGTGCCTCTGCAGTGGTAACTAGACAAGATTGGGAAGTTTCAAGATGATTCAAACCTCCAGCACCTCACAGGAATCCACATTTCTTAACACAGAAGACAATGCTAATCAAAGAAGGAAATAAAAAGGTTATTAAAAACAGATACTGGCTTCACCAAAGTTTCTAAATACACATATCTATGTATATTCCACTAAAAACGTTTAACCCAATAGTCCTTCACAATTTATATCCAGAAACTACACTAGCTGTCCTCACTTTTCACCGGTAACAATGTGCACTAAGGCAGTGCTGCTTTTTAGTAGTAGAGTGGAGACTCTTGACACTTGTAACAAGCAAGCTTGTGATTTATTTTAGGATTACGGGACTTACAGAAGACTTTTTAAAAGTGACTTCTGCAAGTTTCAATATGCAAAAATCACAGAGGATCTTAAAATTAAGAGATTAAGTTTAGGGACAAAATGACATGATAAATTGCAACTAAACATAAAAGGTAATAATGAAATGGTCTCAGGGAACAGCTATGAATAGCACTGAATCCAAATTGAAAGGTGAAGAACAATATTAACTCCAAGAATGTGGCTGATAACCCATTTTTCACTGTCCTTGAAAGGCACGGGCTGAGTAACCTCTAAGAGGCAAGTACTGAGCATCACCAAGTCACTGGCTTTGGGGAATGCTTCTCCAAGTCCTCCTTTCCCTCCCCTACCCAGTTCCACCCCACCTCACCATTCAGGTTTTTGTTTGTTAAAGACTCGGAGGTCTCAAACTCCTCGCCTCAAGCAATCGTCCAACTTCAGCCTCTCAAAGTGCTGGTAGCGCAGGCGGGAGCCAACATGCCCAGAGTGAGCAACTTGTTTACTTCATACTTTCTCACTGGTACTATATGCGTTTGTTTCTAGGCATCTTTAAGATAAATAACATTCCCTCAAAATACGTCCAGACTGTCCTTAGGAGAGACCTTCCCTGTTACCAGGCCACATAGTAGCTGGTGTAGTGAAAGGAAGCTCAGTGGTGAAACCACAAAGACGTAAGTATTGTGAAACTAGAGATGACATGCAAATACTAATAAAAATGTTCACTGAAATACACAAGCGAACACCTGATTTCCACATTATTAGCTGTTCTTATTGACATAGCTAAAATACCTCTCAGTAAATCCAAAGATACTACAAGTTTATAGTAACCCAAGGGCATGCACTACATCCAGCTCTGGTCCCGCCTCCTTCTCTTTCAGGCTACCAGGCTGCGGACAAGGTTAAACTCAATAAAGTACACACTTAAGTGGAAAATGTGGAAGGCCAACATTTTTTCAAAAAAAAAAAAAAAAAAAAAAAAAAAAAAAACCCTGAGAGAGTATAATAAACATTAGCAGTTTATTAACTAAAAACTGTCCTCAAATATTCAATTCTAGGTATCAAATAGATCAGCAGACTTTATAAGCAATTTTTCTGGTTAACAATTTTGCCAATATTCAATGTCTATTATATTTAGCTCATTATCTTTGACCAAAAAAAAAAGTTGCTAACCACCAGTGTGAAGTCAAGACAGCTCAGAACAAGATGACTGAGAAAAAAGTTCTTAATTAAGTTTTCAAATCATGTAAATAACTTCCACAATAAAATCTGGCTTCTTTCTTAGCCATGTTAAATATCAAGGAGCATATTAAAATTTGTTCGTTAACATTTATTCCACCCACAAATGTTTTGACAGGATGGCAGGTAGCTACAGTCTTGTGGGTCAGAGGCCAAGGCAAGAGATGAGAGAACTCTTTCAAGGAATTTCATATCAAATCTTTGTTCCCACTTTAATGCTGGAATGCTAACAGCATTCTTTAAATATTTTGCTAGATGAACTATAACCCTGATAAAAATTGCTATCAACAGTAACTACTAAATATAACTTTTATATTCAATTAGGTTTGTCAGAGGCATTTGTAGAATATTTTGCTCACAAAATACTTTGAGAATGCACCTTTCCAATAATTGAAAAAGTTTAATGAGAATAAATTCTTCTGTTCATTAATTTTCACATTTCAATATTTATCACAGCAAAATTGGGAATGTCTTGATAGTTTACCATTTTTTGAAAAGACTATGAAGCAACCAATTGCCTAGAAACATTCTTGGTTAGTGAAACACTGAGAAATCAACATGTTAGAATTCAAGGAACTGATCAAGCTATAGATCAATAGTAAAGTAAAACTGAGATTTAGTGATGACAAATAAAAATATCAGCAACATTTATCACTAATATGTAATAATGGTGATTTCTAAAGATTTCTACAGATCAACCTTGACAACTACACCTCCCAGTCACCGGAGAGGGCTTTGCAATGAACATGTCACAGCAAGAGAATCCTGTACTTCACGGTAATCATTTCTCTTTTCTGATCCTCTAGTTTCCAGAAACTCCAAACATTAGTCCACAGGTTCAGCCAAACACAACTCACACTTACCATTTCATGGCGGAGAGAATGAGCAGAAAATACATGGAGATATACGGCTCCAGAGGAAAAAGACATTTAAAAATGCTCACCCTATTGCTCATGTCTTGCTCTGTGAAGACTTAAGGAATATCTGGAGCCAAACCAAATAACCTAATTATTAATGAGGCTCAAAATCCAAGTAAAGGTAAAGTGCACTCAAAACAGGACAAAAATGTGACAGAATCAACTGTTGGAAGACTGGAGGACAATCACATGTAAGAAGCACAGGTCCTACACATCCAAGCTAGATCTGAAAGCCCAGTGCGACGTCTCAAAACCAAACAAAGAGGTTCAAAACCAGCACCTTCATGGCCACCTTAAAGCTGGAGAGAGAAAATGCATTTACTTTTATCATCTAAAAAACATAACCAGTAAGGTTTTGTGCTGAGACCTCACCAACCCATCAGCACCTCTAAAAAACAGTATTTAGATATTAGTATTTCTGATGGCCAGGTACACATACATGACTGCCAGAGAAATGTCACCAGAGTGAGGCAGAATTTGTAAAATCCCATTCTACATGCATTAGCAAAGGAAGGTTATAATTCATGGATATGAATGGACTATAATACTTAAATGACACATTTCTGATATATTCACAAAATCTTTATAGAAAGTATTAAAACTCAAAAAAGAAATAAGGTAGGAGTCAATACAGAGATGAAATGTACAAAACAAATGAGCAGGCAAACTAAAAGTTCTTGAAAGTATTTTACTTCAGATTGAAAAATGAACAGCTTCCACACTGTTCACTGCAAGATACACAGTATTCACGAATACAATGCTGGTCATTTGAGGAAATGTATACACACCTCAATTTCTCCTTCATGCTTTTTTTCTTTTAGAAAGATACTGTTTACCAAAAAGAAACTTCAGCAGTACAGGAAAAACTATTTTCCCAATAAATTTACGAAAACCTAAGATTCCCAATGGAATCAAGATTATCTTCCCGCTACCACCACCTTAATATAATCACATGCTTATTGGAACACTAATATTCGCACCCTAAGAGTACATTTACTTTCAACAATGAGGGTGATTCTTTAAAAACAAACAAACAAAAAACAAAACAAAAAAACCCTTCAGTGTGGTAAATGTAACATAGATTTCTGCAAGTATTAAGTGTCTGAAATAGGCAGCTAATACTGGATTTAATATTATTTTATAAATAATTGTTCCCTTAGCAGTAAACATAAGTCTACACATTCACAATTGTCCTAGAAAATAAATACTGTGATTACGCACAATGTTATGACAAACTAGTTTCAAAAACAAAAGCTCGACATCTTGATAAAAATTCTGATCAGAATAAAATGTGACTCTAAAATTTAAAACATTGTCAAAATAACATCACATTTAAAATCTTCCACAGTTTACACGAGTACTATGAGTTTCCAGTTTTGGAACACATTTTTCCATTGTGAATTAAAATATGAACATATTGAAAATTGTTAATTTCAGTGATGACATCGGTTTTGGTCTTACTTTAGCATTATTTTCTTTATAAAAAGTTACACTAAGTGTCCATTAATGGTCTGATTGGTCTTCAGTATTTCATAAATGTATATAAAAGAAATTCCTAAAAGCCAATAGTACTTTATATGTATATATATAAAAGAATCTCATTTCAGAAATGACTGTATTTAACAGAGCCATACACACTGATGCTAAACATAAGAGCTTTCACCCTGAAAGAAAGCATTTTCAGAAATGTCACTTACATTCTATTATATTAAATATTCCCAACTGAGTTTCAAACTCAACAGGTAATGAATAACAGAATTATACATCTCATTGCACTCAAAGCTGACTACAACCAAAATTTACAGTATGATTGAAACAAGCCAATGTTTAAAAAAGTTTTAATTAACGACAACAATTCCATGAAAGAAGAGGATAAAGAATGGGATGACAAGAAGTATTTGGTCTTAATAAGGCAATACAAAATAGATCCATTATCAAAGACCATTTAATTTTTAAAGATCAACAATACCAAAAGCATAAAGTGGAATATAAGAAAATAGTTTTTTATAAGTATGATTTAATTAAAGCTGTTTACAGTTATTCTCCCACAGTAGTTAAGCATGAATTTTGAAAAGAATAAGAGATGAGCAACAGGCACCCGCAGCACACAGGGTTAGAGAAGCCAGCATGCAGAGTCTGTGGAACTCGAAGTTTCACTGCAACAGGAATGAGACCAGACGTGGGGGGCCTTTTTTTCCTATTAGGAAGAAAGTGGAGGGGAAAAAAAAAGACTGCAAAAGAAGCAAACACAAAGTCATGTAATTGCCCATTGCCCAAGACGACAGCACTATAGAAAACAGTTGCAAGTTAATTTTTAGAGATGACCAGAGATTTTTCAGTGTTTACACAAAAGTACATAGTACATTTTTTTTTTTTTTTTTTTACAAAATAAAATAAACATCATTTGCCACCATAAACCTTTTCTTTAGAGAGGAAAAATTTCTGCAGCAGGACACAAGGGTTCTATTAAGTCATTTCAATGCTGAGAAAAACAAATTAAGTAATAGAACTAATCACTTCCCTATATATGGATGTTAAGATGACAATTTAGATTATTTTTCAAACTAATCCTGAGAAAAA